TATCTGCAGTCCAAATCTGTCTGCTGATGAAAATGTCTGGCCCATCATAGAGAGAGTAGAATCAGAGTGAGTTATAAAAACTGTAATTTAAAGAAAAAAAAAAAAGGGAACGTGGCCCAGCTGTAAATCTTTGTTCTAACGTGTCTGGACTGTGATGCAGCGTTGGACAGATCTGACAGCAGTTTACTCAGAGATTACAGTCTTTTTATTTTCATCGTTTGTTTGATAAGGAAAAAAAAATTAAGAAAAGCGGTTTCTTGAAGAGGAGGAGGAGGAGGAGACGGGAGCTGCGAAATGTAAGAAAAAATGGTGAAACCACTAATGTTGAATTATCGTGAGGAGTATAAAGGCAGTGAGTCAGAAGCTCATGATGTCATGATGAGGTCAGGGTCTCATGACAGAGAACATGTGGAGCACAAAGACTCCCATCTAGGTCATGTGGACGTTAACTCCGCTCATTTCCACAGGCGTCCCTCTGACTCGGCCCACGGCCGCGCCCATCGCAATAAGTAAACATGTCAATCACCCTCCGAGGACATGAGGTGGTATTTCCTCGGCTAATCTGGAAAAAATTAATCTGGAGACGTGGGCTTTGACTGCACTGCCCACAGAAGAAGAAGAAGTCGAGGAAGAAGAAGAAGATGAAGAAGAAGAAGAGGAAGAAGAAGAGGAAGAGGAGGAAGACGTGATGGACGTACTGCGGAGTGGAGCTCGTCCCGGCTCTCTCTCTCTGTGTCTGTCTCTCACTGTTTCCCTCTGACTCTCTCTCTCCACCACCTGCTCCGTCACCCTGTCCCTCCGTTCTTCCTTCTTCTCCACAGGGACGTAAAACTCGTAGTCGATGCCGGGGTTCTCCCTGTGAAAAATGATCTGCAGGGAGAAAAGGCAAAGACAAAGGTGGACAAATGAGACCCTGGAGAAATATACTGATCCCCAAAGAGACGTGTACTGCCACCTACAGGAAGGTCTGAGGACTGGGTTAGCACGAGAGACACGTTCATTTTGATTTATTGTTACAGAAAAAAAAATCTGATTCAATCAGATTTTTTTTAATCCAACTCTTTCTCAGTTTCCCAATTTCTGGCAAACTAGTAACACTCCAGCTCCAGCCCAGTAGGTGGGGCTAATGCACCTAAAGTTTGGTCAGCAAACAAGAAGATTTGGTGAACAGTGAGTTTGCATTGTATGGCTTGTTTTTTGTTCATTTATAAAAATGTAAAATGTAGAGTTTAGTTATTTATAATCTATAAAAAAAGATTACAAAAAAGACTAAAAAATCTGTTTAATCCCTCTTTGTTCCTTTCGGGGGTCACCACAACAGATCATCTCCCCCCTCCTCTGGTAAACCAGCCACATCTCCGGTCTAAACCGGTCTCTCATCTCCGTGTCCAACATCTTTGGTCCATTATTTACAGTATCTCTTCTCAGCACATGTCCAAACCATCTGGACCTGGCGTCTCTAACTTTATCTCCAAACTGCTCCACCTTAACTGTCCCTCTCATCTGTGCGGGAGAGAGGGAAGAAATTCAGACTTGACCTCAAAAACACAGATTTGAAGGTTCTACCCCGCAGGTTGAAACCAAACATTTTCTCAGCAGCAAAGACACAGAGAGACAGAGAGACAGAGAGACAGAGAGAGAGAGAGAGAGAGAGGACAGACATGTATTTCTGCTCTAATCCTCTCGACGTGTAATGAGCGTTTCGGCCTCACAGGGTCACTGCTGCCGACAGACTTTCATCCGTCAGTCGTCCAGGTTTGAATCCCACTAAGCCCTAAAAACGCAGGCGATTCCAGGGGAGATCAACCTGTGGGTGTAAAGGCGGCCATGTTGTCTGTTCTTTAATAAGATCTTGGCCTGAGGACACAGTTTGTCCTGACGTTCTTATTAAACCGCGGTCAGTCTGAAGGAACTCTGATGACGGCTTAAACCTAAAGTACGGCTGCGACCGTCCAACTGTAATGCAAAAAATAATACAATTTATCTGGAGCTTAGAATACAGTCTGTCCGTCCATCTGAGTGTCCGTCCATCTGAGTGATTCTGAGGGACAGTTACAAAGACTAGAGAACACGAAGGGACAACGGTAATAATGATGTCAATAAGTCGATATCAGTTCATTAAATTATATTTTTTTTGTTTCATAAGGAGACTGACAACCGATTACATCACATGTCAAACCTGTGGGTTTGACATGGGCCAAATGTGGCCCGCCAAGTCATTTTTTGTGGCCCACTGGAGTTTAAAAAGTGTTTAATTGTCTTGCAATAAAATATTTACTGCTGAGTTTCTTAACCTGATACATTTAAGTTTGTTGTAAAATGTTACAGCCATACAGTCTCACAGTCACAGCCGGGGTGTCACCCCACCCCCGCCCCCCCCGACCCCCACAGTTC